AAGATTTTATTTTTAAGTAATCTCTACACCCAACGTGGGGCTCAGACACACAACCCCTTGATCAAGAGTTGCACACTTTAGGTGCGCCTGGGTGGCGCAGTCGGTTAAGCATCCGACTTCAGCCAGGTCACGATCTCGCGGTCCGTGAGTTCGAGCCCCGCGTCAGGCTCTGGGCTGATGGCTCAGAGCCTGGAGCCTGTTTCCGATTCTGTGTCTCCCTCTCTCTCTGCCCCTCCCCCGTTCATGCTCTGTCTCTCTCTGTCCCAAAAATAAATAAACGTTCAAAAAAAAAGAAAATTAAAAAACAAAAAAAAATTGCACACTTTACTGACTAAACCAGCCAGGCTCCCTGAGATCTTTCTTTTTTATTAATAGGGGTGTTTATAGCTATAATCTTCCCTCTAAAGACTGCTTTAGATACAACTCTAAAGTTTTGGTATGTTGTGTCTTTATTTTCATTCACCACCTTGTATTTTCTAATTTTCCTTATGATTTCTTCCATTAGTTATTGAGGTGTTAATTTTTACATATTTGTGATTTTCTCAGATTACTTGGCTGTTATTGATTCTAGTTTCATTCCATTCTGGTTGAAGAACATGCTTTATATGATTTCAATCTTTTACGTTTATAGAGGTTTGTTTTATGACCTAGCATATGTTCAGTACTGGAGAAAGTTCCATGCATACTTGATGAGCATGTGTATTCTTCCCTGGTTGGGTGGAATGTTGTATAAATGTGTTAGATCCAGTTCTATAATTTTGCTCGTCTCCTATTTCCTTGTGAATCTTCTGTGTACTTCTGTCCATTATTGAAGGATTGAAGTTTCCAACTATCAATTGCCTTCTTCATTTCTGTCAGTTTTTGGTTCATGTATTTTGGTGCTATGTTATTAGGTACATATATACTTAGAATTATTATAGATTGTCCATTTAACCATCATGAAATATTCCTCTTTATCTCTGGTAACGTTTTTTTTTAGTTTATTTTGCATCTTAGTATATCCACCCCTCTTATGGTTGTTTGCAAGCTGTATCTTTTTACATCCTTTTCTTTTAGTCTGAATCTTTGAATTTAAAATCCCTCTTATAGATAGCATATTGTTGGATCTTGTTTTTTTATTCCAGTGTGATAATCTCTGCCTTTTGATGTGATTATTTAACACAATCTCACTTAATGTTGTTATTGACAGTGGATTTCTGTCTGCCATTTTTTCCCTATATGTATCATGTCTATTTTGTTCCCGTTCCCCCCTTACTGCTTTCTTATGCATTAAGTAAATATGTAACATTTAAATTTCTTTCATATTTTCACTATATTTTTTTATTTCCTTAGTGATTGTTCTGGAGCTTACTATATACATCTTACCAGAATCTGTGTCAGCTTTATACTTACTTACTTCTAATGAGATTTAGAATTATCGCTAACATTTACTTTTGATTTCTGTGTTTGAAGTATATTCATTACTTCCTCTGTGTTCCTTTTCATTGTTTATATTTATTTAAAGTGTTGGTGGCCTACTTGGTATAGCTATGAAAATAACGGGAAATAATTTTCTTTTCAGTTAGAATCAAGAATAGAGGAACTTAGTAAAGAAGTTAAAGCTTCCAAAGATAAACTAGTAGCTCAAGACATTGCAGCTAAAAATGCAGTTCAGCAGTTACATAAAGAGATGGCCCATCGAATGGAACAGGTATTTTTCAAATCAATATCATTATTAACTTGATATTTTGGTGACTCTTTCTTGTTTATTATAAACTAACTTGTTAGACTGTTTTGAGTATCAGTGGTATGTTAAGAATAGGTAATTAATCTTTTTAAAAAATGCTAAAGCAATGCATAAATACATGCTAACTACAAAAATATTTTTTAAAATTAAGGAAGTATATAGAAAAAAAAGTGAAAGTCCTCCTTCATTTGTACTTCTCTCTTCCTGCTCCCAATCCCTTTATATCCCACTCCTTGTTCTGTAGTAATTATTAATATTTTGGTTATGTATCTTACCACATACATAGGTATGTCACACAAGCTTATGTGTATGTATTCATATACTTCTCCTACTTTTTTTTTTATGTTTTATTTATTTTTGAGAGAGAGAGACAGCGTGAGCAGGGGAGGGATAGAGAGAGGGGGAGATACAGAATCCGAATACAGGCTCCAGGCTCTGAGCTGTCAGCACAGAGCCCAACGTGGGGCTCGAACTCACAAACTGTGAGATCATGGTATGAGCCAAAGTGGGATGCTTAGCTGACTGAGCCACTCAGGTGCCCCCTGATTCCTCCTACTTGATTGGAATCTTACTGTATATCTTTTTGGGGGGTTTCCTACTTAATTCATTTTGGTAATCTTTTTGAGTTGGTATATATGGATTTCAGAAGAGATCATTTTAAGTATTGTTTTTGTGTTATTATTGCCTGCACTCTTAAGTATAGGATCTTAGTCATCTTCATTTCTCTATTCATAAAACCTAGCATAATGCCTAACAATTGGTCCTTATGGTGAATTGAATCAGAAAGTGTTACCTGCCTGCTAACACTGTCAGTGAGATGGATCCTGTTCTTTCTGCCCTAAAGCTACTATCATAGGTAGCTTTCTGGAAGAACTTTAGCAAACAGTTGGTCCTCAACCTTTATTTCTGTGATTCTTTACAATATGATGATTTAAAATCTATGCTCTCAGCTCTCAAACTTTTTGTAGTAATTGAAGAGAAATATAGAAGATGAGACCTTAAGAATTTGTTGGTTTTGGTAGACTCAAACGTAACTGATAATTAGAACCACCAAGCTTTTTAAAAAATGTATTCTTTAGAGTTTATTATATTTTCAAATAAACACAAAATAGTAGTTGGATATATACAATAACAATTCAAACAGTAAAAAATGAGGCTTCTTCCAAACATTTTCTCCCATTTTCCCCCTTCCCAGAGGTAACCATTGATGCCAGTTTCCTGTGTATTTTCCCCAAATGTTTATTGCCTAGACAAGCATGTGTGTATTCTCCTTCCTTCCATCCCCCCTTTTTAAAATAATTGGCAACATGCTGCATTCACTACTATGTAATTGTTCTCTCTATAATGATGAAAAGTATAGGTGAAGTTATTAACATTAGCTAATGTATTGAGATTTAGCTATGGGCCAGGCCACGTTCAAAGCACTTTACAACTTATTTAATCTTCACAACAATCCTACGAAGTGGGTATTACGGTGTAGATTTTGGAATTCATTTCATTTAAATATTTATAGATCTGCTTCATTCCTTTTTACCCCTACCTTTTCCTGTCAACTTTTTGAAAAATTTTAAGCCTGTAGAAAAGATGAAAGAATAGTAAAATGAACACTGTTTTATCCTTCATGTAGAGTCACCAAACCTGGTTAAATTTTATTTAGAAGTAGATTCCCAGCATGAGTGTGCACCTGTTTACGCACACACAGTACATTCCCCAGTTTAATTTTCCAGCTTGAGGTTTCTCCATTTCTCAGACTGCAGGTAGAATGAATACGAACTTCAAACTTCCAAGAGGGTAGGCTTATATTATAAATTCTCAAGGACTTCCAGCATGTTCCCTTTATACCCCCATTCCTGGATTGGGAAATGTCCACAGGGCAATGAAGAGTTCAGGCCTAGCATACCATTCTGGATTCCTGCTTCCTCTTAGCTTCTTGGGCCCTGGGGGTTTCTCATACTTTGTTGTGAGCTCAACTGTTTATTAAAAGAATATTGGTTGTATTTCATCTAAATTTTTGGTGTTTTAGATGGGGATGGTTTATCTACCATATTTTGAGACCAGAACATCTTACATTTTATCTTAATTTTAACTGGCTATTGAATCCTATTGATTATCTTATTCATGCTTTCTATGTGTTTATCCAAGTCAGTGATAAATATCTTAAACTGGTCAAATCCAAAGACTTACTGGCTCCTCTTCCTTTATCTGTACCCTAAATGGACAGACTTTTTGCAGAAGCTTAAGCAATAATTACTGTATGATCTTGTTTAATACTTCCAACAGTTCTGGGAAGTAGGTGCTGCCATCATCTGGGTTGAGACCTAGAGATGTGAACACTCAGCACCCCACATTATTCCTTTGCAGCTGATCCACAGATGACCGAGTAGCAGGACATCCCTCGCATAGTCAAGAACCTCATAATATTTTACTTTATTTTAATTGTCTTTTTTGTGGTTTTTCTGCTTCCCATCTCTCAATTTCAGCGAAGCTACCATCCTGCCACCAGTTATCTTACTAATTTGTTTAATAAAAGGTTTGATTTATAAATCCTTTGGCTTCCCATTGCCTGTAGGATAAAATCTCAACTCATTAGCATGATAAGAGAAGCCCTTCTTCCTTTGAAGATTTAATCTCTAATTAAATCTGTTTCATAACTACTTCCCCCCACCCCAGTCCAACCAACATGCTAAATTTAAATCCTCCAAAATGTCTTGATATCCTCAAAAAAATTATGCTATTTTATACAACTAGGCATTTGCGCTTTTGTTCATGTTATATGTATATACATTGTTTCTATAATGTGTAAACATTTTGTTTATATGTCATTCATACCTAGATAATGAGCTTTTCTGGGACAGAAGCCACAACTTGTTCTTTGTGTTTCCAAAAGCTAATACATTATCTGAACATCAACTTATGAAACTAGACTTCTTTTTAAGTTGATATTATCATTAATTGCTTTTCCTAAGAACAGTTATTCAGTTATCTAAAAATATAGCTAATTCCGTTAACCAGTTCCAGCACAGTTTTCTCAATTTTTGTCCACAATTACATCATGAAATCCTCAGGGATCTCTGACATTCCTATTCCAATATTTCCCTTAATTTTTCCTGAAAATTAACAGGTTATTTCAGTGGGGGGGGGGCCCAATTGGACAATTTTGAAAAGTATTTGTATAGTATTCTGAGTGTCTACTAGATGTGCTTATCAGCTATAGCAGAACTTCATGAAACGTTCTTTGTCATGTACTTTTCATCAGACCATGGTAGCTTTACCTACATTCTTTTTAACGTTATATCTTCTTCAATTCAGTTATAGTATCAGTTGGTATTTACCACTAGATGCCAATGAAAAGCCCTAAAGTTTAAGGTTTCATCTTTTATAACATAAATATGTGTTCCATCATATTTGCAAGCTATGAGTGTAAATTTACTTAAATGAAGGGCTATCTGTAGAAGTTTTCATTGCATGAAACTTCAGAATATGGAGTACTGGCTTATATTAACAGAATTTTGAGAGTATATAGATATCACAATCCAATTAGGTATTTTTTTTTTTAACGTTTATTTATTTTTGAGACAGAGAGACACAGAGCATGAATGGGGGAGGGTCAGAGGGAGGGAGACACAGAATCTGAAACAGGCTCCAGGCTCTGAGCTGTCAGCACAGAGCCCGACATGGGGCTCGAACTCATGGACCACGAGATCATGACCTGAGCCAAAGTCGGCCGCTTAACCAACTGAGCCACCCAGGTGCCCCTGGATATTTTTTTATTAAGTGAAAAACTTTAGAAAAGTTTTTCATATACAAGAAATCAGATGATCATTCATTAGCCTACAGTTAGCAAGGGAGCTAAGATTTTTAGATTTTAGGAATTGTCAGGCATATAGTCAGGGTCCTGGCAGAAAACAGAAACTGCCGATTTGAGAATGTAATGAAAGGACTCTTTACAAAAAAGTATGGACAAGGTTTAGGGGACCCAAAGGAAAATGCGGGGTCTTGAGATGCTAGAGGAGCCACTATTACTCTTTGGGCTAAAGGAATAAGGAGAGGGAGCAGGTAATGCAACTCAGAAGGGTTAGTTGTATAGTGTGGACACCTGACACAGACAGCGGCCTTCCGTGAACCTGTGGTGACTCTGGAGGAGCCAGATCTCACTCTTTGCCTGTAGTTCTGATCTGCCTAATGCCTCCCGTTGACTGAATCCAACCGGAAGGATGAGGGCAAGGGAACTTATTGATACGGTCCATGATAGTCATCTTCCCAAAGCACAGGGTGGGATAGGAAAGAGTGGAAGAGTGGATCTGGAGGAGTAAATGGGAAACAGTAACTATGTCAGCCAAAGTAAAAGGAATAGGAAAGAGTAAAAGCAAATAGTAGTGATAGTAATTTATTGGCTGTATCTTTTTTCTATAATTCTGAATTTTTCCTTTCATTTAAAAATTTCATGACACAGGCCTGAGCATGTTGTGCAAAAAAAAACCCAAAAATACATTGGTGATATTGTAGAAAAATTTTATTATTTTTTTGTTATTTAAAATTATTTTTAAAGTTTATTTATTTTGAGAGAGAGCATAAGCAGGGGAGGGGCAGAGGGGGGAGACAGAGGATCTGAAGCAGGCTCTGTGCTGACAGCAGAGAGCCCTACGTGGGACTTGAAATCACGAACCATGAGATCATGACCTGAGCCAAAGTCAGATGTTTAACTGACTGAGCCACCCAGGCACCCCTGTTATTTTTTTAATATTTGTTCTTGAGAGGGAGGGAGAGAGAAGGGGATGGGCAGAGAGCAAGGGAGATAGCGGATCTGATCTGTTGTCAGGGCAGAGTCAGATGTGGGGCTCGAGCTCATGAACTGTGAAATCGTGACCAGAGCCAAAGTTGGATGCTTAACCCACTGAGTCACTCGGGTGCCCCCAGTATTACTTATTTTGATTGATTTTGATTTTGTTTTGCAAAAAAAGTTTTATTAATGCTGGATATTTTTTCAAAGGCCAACAAAAAATGTGAAGAGGCACGCCAGGAAAAAGAAGCAATGGTAATGAAGTATGTAAGAGGCGAGAAGGAATCTTTAGACCTTCGAAAGGAAAAAGAGATACTTGAAAGAAAGCTCAGAGATGCAAATAAAGAATCCGAGAAAAACACTAACAAAATTAAGCAGCTTTCTCAGGAGAAAGGACGGTTGCACCAGCTGTATGAGACAAAGGTATAACTTGGTGCTGTTGTACCTTAGTTGAAATGTATTCTTTTTGCTTTTCTTTAATCAAATAATCATAACTTGATGTGGTTAAGTCACTATTAAACATAAAGTGATTTTTGTTAGTTTGCCTTCTAAGAACATGAATGTTTTAGTAACTTTAATATCTCTTTACTTGTCTGTGAAAAGTCTTTGCTGGGAAAAAATGAGATTGACACATGTTTATTAAATAACATTTTCTTGACAGGTATTTTTTTAAAGTCCTCTTTTAATATCTATATGTTGAAGAAATGAGAGTTCTGCTTCAAAACATTTTATTTTGGTAAAATATATACATAGTATGATCAAGATGTAAACAATTTTTCAGCCAGAAGTATACAATTTGACTGAATCTCAATGTAACAGTTATTTATCATAGAATAGAATTTATATTTTTCTTGTAGAAAAACATGTTCTTCTTAGATGCTGCCCCAAAAGATTTAATTACTGGCTTTTTTAGAGTCCTTGCTGTTAACTAGCTGCCTCATGGCATGGTCTTACTTCTAGTGGATTATCATTTCTTGATGATGAATGTTATTTTTTTTATAAATTAACTTTTAGTTCAGAAATGTTGTCATTGTTCTCAGGAATTCTGGAAAAATGTAATTTGTATTTTGCCTGAATGCCAGCCAGTTGAGAAGAATCATGAAGGTGTACTTGTACTTGCAACGTATCTAGTTGGTTGAAATGTAAATGTTAATCATCTTATGTCTATTAATTTGATTTAGGGTTTTGCTACTCTCTTAATCATTTGAACTTTAAATTAGGTTTACGGCTTGTAGGTTATAATATGCTAGCCCCTGAAATACAGTGTTAATTGCACTGATTATTTTGATGAGGCATAAAAGATACACAAAGAGTTGGTTGATTGTTTAAGTGAAAAATATGACCTAGTGATATTGTTTTAGGAAAGTGAAACTACTAGACTCACCAGAGAAATTGACAAATTAAAAGAAGATATCAACTCTCATGTCATAAAAGTAAAATGGGCACAAAACAAATTAAAAGCAGAAATGGATTCACACAAGGTAAGTACTGTCATGCAATGGAAAAATTATTAAAACCAGTTTTAAGAGCAAATGCAATAATAGTTAATGAGGCATAAAGCTTAATTTAGTGACTTCTGTGGAGTAGGTGGGGCCTAAATATTTGGTAATTATGAAAAGGTATTTCCTTGCATGATTTACATATTAAATTACACTATTAAATTTTATCATAAATTTTAAAAATATTAAACTTTGTCATTCATTGTTTATAAATCCAAAATTGATTTTGTTCTTTAAGCATTTTTTGATATCTATATTTAATATTAAACATTGTCAGAAATTTAGGGGAAAGAGGGGAGTCTGTGGGTTATTTATAAAAATTAAACGTAAACTCTGAAAATTTAAAAGGAATGTCAGTGATGCTAAGATTCTTATAATCAAGAAATATAAATTCTTGTTTATGTGGTGCCTGGGTGACTCAGTCGGTTGAACGTCTGATTCTTGACTTCAACTCAGGTCATAATCCCAGAGTTGTGGGATTGAGCCCCATGTGTGCCACCAAGTGTGGAGCCTGCTTAATGTTCTCTCTCTCCCTCTGTCCCCTGCCCCTCCCCAGCTTATATGCACCCTTGTGCACTCTCACTCGCTCTCTCAAAAATAAAAGAAAATAGAGGCACCTGGGTGGCTCAGTTGGTTAAAAGTGTCGGACTTCGGCTCAGGTCATGATCTCGCGGTTCGTGAGTTTGAGCCCTGTGTTGAGCTCTGTGCTGACAGCTGGGAGCCTGGAACCTGCTTCAGATTCTGTGTCTCTCTCTCTCTCTCTCTCTTTCTTTCTCTCTCTCTCTCTCTCTCTCTCTCTCTCCCTCTCTCCCCCCTCCCCCTCCCCGACGTGTGCACGCACATGCATGCTCTCTCTCTCAAAAATAAACATTTAATACAATTTTTTAATTAAAAAATAAATATAAATTTTTATTTTAATAAGAGTATAATAAAGATTTTAAGAATGTTTCCATATCTGTTTACTATGAATATAATTGCATTGGTATTATGCCTCATGAGTATCATTTAAAAAAAATATAATGATAAGTGATCCTAAAGGCTGGTATGTGATGCCATGATTTTAAGCACCAACTGAACTGGTATAAGAGTTAATAAAAATCTGAAGATGATAGATGTGAAGTAAAAGAACAACTTCAAAATAGGATTTAAACTGAAGAGCAGTATTATTTATAACAATTGCCAAGTTTTCAAAAATAAGATTAATGTTATTGTTTAAAACCATAATCATAGGTTATCTCACTAAATAATTGTAAGTAGAACTGTTAATAACCTTTGGATATTTGCATATAATATTGTCAGAGAAAACTGTTGGGAGAAGTGTTGACGGTGGTGACAGAATAGAGAATGGCAGCTGTCCTCGAGTTCTGAGCTAAATGCTGATCCGCACAGGAGTGTTGACGAGCTACACAGGCAGAGAAGGAATTAGGATCGGAAATCCTTGCAGTTCACACGACAGGGCTGTAAATCATTTAAAATTTCCCTTTACTTTCAGTTACAGAATGAAGAATTAAAATTCCAAATCCTACATCGTGATAATGATTTCCAAACTATCCAAATTGCTTCAAGATCTGAATATAATAGTGGGTCATATCTAATATCTGTGGCACTTTTCTCCTCATTATCTCTAGCCCTAAGGGGTGGGATGCTGCAACTTACCAGAATACTAGCATTGGAGCGTGAAAAGTGAAAGGCTAACATTTGGTCTTCTGTGACCATATGTGTTAAAAAATTGGTAATAATAGATATTTAATGGCAGCTTTGAGGTGAGATGAAACCAGATACTTTGTAAGTAGGTTAGAGAATTAGTTTAAGGCTGACATAATGAGGTCACGTGGTGTGGATTGCTAGAAAACGAAAATATGCATATTGACCTAGTATGTGGAAATTAGAAATTAACCAGTTTTTTTTTTTTTTTAAGGCATTTATTAACCAGCAGGTGTTTAACTGGGCCTTCCTCTGTGCACAGCACTGTATGAAATAATATGGATGCTGTAAAAGCCATGGAGGACACAGTAATTGCTTTGAGAGAGTGTCTGGGATGGGATCCTGGTTACCTGTTTTACGTTATTTACCTAGTAGATGTGAGGTGGCATCTCTAGATCAAAGGATACAAAGATTTAATGACCGTCTAGGCAGTATAGGCCACCTTTTAAAATGTGAACAAGAGCCAGGACTCTTGTAAGTTTTTCTCCAGGCACCCTTTCCAATTTCTAGTTTCTGCCCACCCAGTCCTAGGTATTAATATTGAAGTTCTGGATGTTACTGGATTCACTGTGATCATTAACCGCTGAGCAGGCCTCCAGAGGTATTACCAGAAACTAAGTGATAGCTCCTTCATCAGTAGAATTATCAATTGGATCAGACAATAGAAATAGTTTCACTTATTCCTTTTCTGAAACTCCTTTGGAAGTTAAATTGAAATGTGTTTTTAACGCCTAGCTTCTAAAAACAAAAGCCTTTTATTTTTAGTGTAGTGAAGGACTTTCCCCACAGTGTCCCTCATATAATTGTTCACCTACCTGGTTGCTACCTATTTACCTACTTGGTCCCAGGATAAAATAATCTCACTGGAGCATAACTTCATTCTTGTATGGTTTAACTTATAAAGCCCACTAATTAGAAGCTAGTGCTCACTTTTAATTAGCTTTACTGTTACCTCACATAGTAGAAGTATATGTTCAGTTCTGTAACTCTTCTATAACTATAATTTGTTGCATTATGGAGTAACAGGGTTCAGTTTAGCCTCCCACCTTAAAAAACTTAATTAAAAAAAAAATATATATGAAATGAAGGTTTTTAGGTTTGGGACAACAAAGGCAGCACAGGACAGTGATCCCTGAGAGAAGGGAATCAAGCAAGATGGAGAATTTCCAGGTTGCTGCAAAGAAGAAGAACCCAGACAGCTTCCAGCAAGTCTCCATGAATTGAGGAGACAAAGTTTGAAGTATGGGAAACAGGGTAGAGTACCAGAGAAGAGAAAGATTTGGAGATTTGCACTGTGTTCCCTTCAATTCTTCATTCAGCTCAGTACTAATCAGTATATGTGTATGAGAAAGAGGTGGAGAAAGAACTATCAGAAAGGAGTAGGGGTGACAATTCCTAGGGCTCATAAGAGTGGTTCACGTTTCCCCCAACCAAGAGAGAGCGCTCTTAACATACAGGGCATCCAGTGGTCCTCAGGAGGGTGTTGCTTTAGCAGTGGGGACTAATTAGCCCAAATTCAAAGTCTGTTATGGACCCATCTTACAAAGCTTTGAAAGAAAACCTCAAATCAAATTGTTTCAAATAACCGTGTCCCAGAAGAAAGCCCAAAATACTTGAACTCAGAAATCTCTAGGATCTACAAACTTAAAATTGACAGTGTCTGGTATCCAATAAAAAATTACCAGACATGCAAAGAAGCAGGAAAATATAGCCTATAATGAGAAGTAAAGAAAAATCAATTGGTAGAAACAAAGCCAGAAATGACCTAGGTGAAAGAAGTAGGTAAGGATGTTAAAACAGCTGTTATAAAAATATACTCCATATATTCAAGAAGGTAAATAAAAGCATGAGTATGTTAAAAGTAGAGACATGAAAGGTGAAATGGATGTAACGTCTGAGATGAAAAATACGGTGGGCAGAATTAACAAGATTAGATACTATAGAAGACAAGATTGGTGGACTTGAAAAACATGAAACTTTAAAAGCTATGCTAGTGACTCCTAGATTTATAACTTGGACACAATTCCAGATTCATATAGTCCAATGGCTGTTTGGCATCTGACATCTGGGATGACTCACAGGCATCTTCAACTGAACATGTCTAAAACTCCGTGGATAATGTGCCCGCCCTCCATTGCTTCCCTTCTCAGTAGATGGCAGTTCAGTCTTTTAGTTGCCCAGGCGCAAAACCTGAGGATTGTCCTTGAATTCTCAGTCACCATATCCAGTCCTTTAGCGACTCTTCTTGCTCACTTCTTTCAGGTCTTTACCCATCTGTCACCTCTCAGTGTCACTTTCCCTGGCTCTCTCAACATTCATACCTCCCTTCAGACTTGCTTGTGCCCTTTATTTTTACTCCCTAGCACTTGTCACTATCTAATATAACGTAGTTTTACTTATGTATTTTATGTATTATTTATGATCATCACTAGAATACCAGCTTTATGAGAGTAGATATTTTAACTGTCTTCCAGTAAGATTTCCCCAAAGCTTAGAACAGTGCCTCACATGGCAGTGAACACAGAATGAGTGACTGCATCAATGAAACATAATACCTTAACCAAACTTATTTTATTCGATTATTTATTTAATAATGATTTAGCATTATAGGAATCTCTCAATTGCTGTTTTTTGAGTGGAGTACCTACTGTGTGCCTAGCTATTTCAGTTATTGATGATATGAAAGTGGGGAAAAAATATATGAACGATTTTTCTCTCCCCTCCCCTCTTCAAGCTAATACTCTGATATTAAAAAAAAAAAAAACAAGGTTTGAAAAATTCTCCAAATAATTTGTATTTTAGAAGTGATACTGAGTTTTTTTTTTTAATTTTTTTTTTTAATGTTTATTTATTTTTGAGACAGAGACAAAGCATGAATGGGGGAGGGTCAGAGAGAGAGGGAGACACAGAATCTGAAGCAGGCTCCAGGCTCTGAGCTGTCAGCACAGAGCCCGACGCAGGGCTCAAACTCACGGACCGTGAGATCATGACCTGAGCTGAAGTCGGACGCTTAACCGACTGAGCCACCCAGGCGCCCCAAAGTGATGCTGAGTTTTAATCCAAACCAAGTTTTTACTAGAAGACCAGCAACTGGAAGTATCTAGCTAAGTACTTAATTGTATGAGAGATTATAATAAAAAATGACATGAGAGAAGCGGTGTGTGAAGATAGGTGCAATTTAGGTGGTTCAAAAGACGAAGAGAAAGACGTTCAAAGTGGAGGAACAACAAGAAAAAAGGAAAAATGGGAGATGAGTGTTTGATGTTTAGCAAGACTGGCCTACCTACCTACAGCAGAAAGTTTATATTAGTGATTCCTTGTTGATTCAGCAAATATACTTGAACAATAAACATGTGGCAAGTACTAAGCCGGGGGTTGTCCAGAAGCTGTGTACTCAAAGGGGGGAACACGAAAGCTACAGTACGGCGTATACATTGTTATACCCTATGATGCCCCGGATTCTGTCTATGGGAAGGCAGAATGGCAGCATCTACCCCCTTCTGACTAGCAGCTACCAGGAGGTCATACCTAAACCCTCGTCTCAAATCCACAGGATAGCCCAGACCATGGGACTGGATGGGTGCTCTGAAGGAGAACTTTGGAAAATGAGCTGCAGAGCAGGGCTGTATCTGAAAAATTGCCACAGGAAGCAGGAAGCCAGTTGAGGATACAGAGAAGGCAACAGCAAAGAGGGAAAAAACAGTATATTGTCTTGTAGTAGAAACAGAGGAAGGCTATCCAAAGAGTCAGAAGGGGTCAGAACTGGAGCAGGTAAGTCAAGAATTAAAAATGAGAGAAAGTAGTTGGATTTGGTAAGAGTAGTCCGTCCAAACCTTCAGAATTGCTATTTCAGGAGAGTGGTTAGGAACAGAAACCAAATCACAGCATGGATGTGTAAGACAGTTTCGAATAGATACCATGGCTGTGAAACAACTGTCTTTTGTGTGTGTGCAAAGAGCTGTTTAACGCTGTGTTCGTCTTGGCTTATCATGTTAGTTACTTGTAGCGATTTACTTAAAACTCTGTCAAATTTAACTTTATTTTATGGCTATCAGTTAACTGCATAGGCCGCTTTATTTGTTGTCAGAAGCATAAAGTGTTATTTCTAGAAAATATGTGACCCCTCAGTGGCAGTGCCAAGACAAGAACTTTCTCTACTCTGATCATTGTTCTTACCATTCATCACGTTACTGTGCTCAACTTGTCGCTGTCTGTGAGGGACAATGTTTTCCTTCCCCAGTGTAGGGAAGAACCCCGTTCTCCCTGCTGTGTCTTTCTTCCCTGTGAGTCTCCTTTACTTTTACACAAGACACTTGACATCTGACACTTCTGGTCCACCAGATGTGTGGAGGTTTTCCCTCCCTGCAAGTAATTCTCTGTGAATACCACCTAGGTGTCCTACAGTTTCACTCGACTCTGACACATCTCCCTGGAGGTAGCATCGGATCCCACAGATTAAGGGTTCGGTCTTACAAGAATGCCCACCCACCCCCTGCCACATACATACTTCAGATGTTATCACCCGTGCTTATGACCAACCAGCTATAGATCAGAAGTTGCAGCCACCCCCTCCTTGGGTTGGAAATTTTCCTTAAAGAACTCAGAGAAACACATGTTTACCGCATTATAAAGGGTATGATAAAGGACACAGATGAACAACCAGATGAAGAGCTGTGTAGGGTGGGGTCTGGAAGGGTCCCAGGCGCAGGAGCTTCCATCCCCATGGAGTTGGCGGGCGTCACCCTCTCAGTGTGGTCGTACTTGCCAGCGTGGAAGCTCTCTGAACCCCATACTTTGGGATTTTATGGAGGCTTTGTTATGTAGGCATGATGGATCGTCAACTCCATCTTCAGGCTTTCTTTGGGGGCTAAAAATTCCTGGCTTCTAATCATGACATGGTCTTTTTGGTGACCAGCTCTCATCCAGGAGCCCACCTAGAGTTGTCTCATTAGAACAAAAGACACCCCTGTCATTCAGGAAGTTACAGGGGTTTCAAGAGCTCTATGTCAGGAGCAGAGGCCAAAAGCAATATTGCGGTGGGTTGCCTGGGTGGCTCAGTCAGTTAAATGTCCGACTCTTGATCTCAGCTCAGGTCTTACTTTCAGGGTTGTGAGGTCAAGCCCTGCGTTGGGCTCCACGCCCAAAAAAACACACACACACAAACAATATTGCAACAAGAAATGCTCCTAGTGTTCTTATCACTTAGGATATTACAAGGGTTTTAGGAGTTTTGTGTCAAAGACCAAGGCAGAGACCACTGTGTATTTTTTTCTTGTCTCACACTGTCTTTTGTCAATGCAGGAAACCAAAGATAAACTCAAAGAAACAACAACAAAGTTAACTCAAGCAAAGGAAGAAGCAGATCAGATAAGGAAAAATTGTCAGGATATGATAAAAACGTATCAGGTATGCTTAACTTTTCAAATAGATGAGTAACAAAATTGCACCAAATATCAGTACTCGTTTTGTATCTACAGTGTTGGTAGTGTGGAATGGATTTGGTAGGACAGTTAAATAAATTGCAGACTATTTCCTGTGTTAAAGTACTTGCAGCTTAAATAGAGATCTTATTAGGGAAGTTTTAACCAAATAAAAACATTAGAAAATGTCAGAAGAATGAAGAGTACCGGAAACGTATAACATAAAACCTACTCTGTGTTAATGTTACATATCTTAAGTGCTGTTTCGTGCAGAATTGACATCTTAAAAACCTTTCAGTGCAATCCTTTTTAGTATGTAAGGTATGCATTTCACAATCAGTAAACAGTGGCAAAAGCTGTCACGTTCCAAAGCATAAAACTTTAAAAGTTAAGTCATACTTTTTTCATTTCTTTTCCATTAGGAGTCAGAAGAAATTAAATCAAATGAGCTGGATGCCAAGCTTAGAGTCACAAAAGGAGAACTTGAAAAACAGATGCAAGAAAAATCCGACCAGCTAGAGGTGAGTGGCTTTGCTCTTTTCATACCGTGGATTGTGTAATAAATACAGAGGGAGAGAAATAATAAATAATGTTATACTAAGTGTAATAAGAGAATAATAAGGCCTTTTCGAAGGAACACACAGTAACGTTTAGATCTTGTCTGGTACATAATGATTTGTGGTTTCTTTTAAACTTTTTAAAAGATGCATCATGCCAAAATAAAAGAACTGGAAGATCTGAAGAGAACATTTAAGGAGGGCATGGATGAACTACGAACACTGAGAACAAAGGTAATTAAATCGTTAGTCATTTCAGAGGAAAGGTCAATATCTTTAATTTGGGACTCATTCTGATTTTCCAAGTGTTGGAGAAAGGATATTTATATAGAAATGTTTCAAAATGAAAGAACTCAGAGGAGTAGAATGTCGATTTCCTAGCAACGAAGGTGAGTCTCTTATTGAAATGAAAATGTCTTCCACTTTAGTCCCTTTGAACTATTTGCCACACATTGCTGTTTTACGGCACATTTGCTGTTTCTGTAACTTCTCCTCGGGCCTCTAATGTAAGGCAGTCTTGTCAGCGAATTAATTGGAAAGAAAGTTGGACTTTAGAACTGTGAGTGACAAAAAATAATAGACTTCATATTTCTCCCATATAGTCTTGTACAGAGTTAATTTCTAACAATCTAGTATAGTCTTTATTGGAAGAATAGTATCCCTTTTGATATGGATGTGAAATATCATCGAACACCATTTATTTATTTAGAAATAGGCTTTTAAGTAACAACCTGGAATTTGCCATCACTTAATAGTTTTCAAAGTGCCTTTCGTGTGCATTCCATTTGTTCTCCGTGCCAGTTTTTTGAGGTAAGTAGGGAAGGTATACGGTTTTCAGGTGAGGAAATGGAGATTCAGCAAAAACAATGTGACAAGCTAAAAGTCCCGAGACTAAATCATAAGAAATCTGAGACTGAGTCCTAGGACTGTCAACATCCCGTTGTATTTTCTTCACATTAATTAGTTCCGCTCCAGAATTTAGCTTGGATTATTAATATGTAATCACTATTTGAAGTAATTAAGGAACAAGAAAATATTGTTTGTACGCTAACTTGGTTATGATTTTTGATAGGTGAAATGTCTAGAAGATGAACGATTAAGAACAGAAGATGAGTTATCAAAATATAAGGAAATTATTAATCGCCAGAAAGCTGAGATTCAGAATTTATTGGACAGAGTGAAAATTGCGGATCAGATACAGGAGCAGCATCAAAGGTATAAACTTCACAACTTTTCTTTATGCTAATCAATAGGCTCTTCTGACTCAAGATTGTGTTCTTAAATGCCATTACTGCATTAAACAAGAGTGATTTTACAATTTGACTAGTGAAAAACTTTTAAATTCCTGTCTCTGTTTGAACTTTTTTGGATTATCTTTGAAGTTCCTATCATGGCTTCTAAAAATCAAAGTGTATATACCCTCAATATTGGAAATAGCAATTTATAAGACAGAATGGTTTTTAGTTTCTTTATCCGTTCTTTAACTTTCAAATTATGTTACTTACTTTTTCTTCCCAAAGGTAGATACGTACGTATACCTGTATCTTTGTGTGTGTGTGTAGTGCAGAGTCAGGAGCTGACCTTATTCCTTGACCTCTTGGAAAACCTTTTAGCTAGACTCTACTCGTGACATGACCTGGCAGAGCGTGGATTCAGCTTGAATCCAAATACCTTCTTTTTCATACCTTACCCATATCTGCTGCTGAGCGTTGCTAAAAATTCTCACCATCATCAGGGTTGATGCTGTGATAAATCCATGGTTAGTCACCTCAACTGGAAATGATAATGATGTCCCTAGTCATAGCCTCTCCCCGACCTGGAAGCATCTATTCCTGCTTTGTTCACACTTCTGGTCTCCCTCCCCTTGATATTTAGGCTTAGCGGGCAGTTACCTCTTATTTACCTCACAAAAGAAATGGGCGCTAACAAGTTCTTGATCTGTCCTGTGAACTCGCCAGCCTTTGCAACCTTTCTTTCTTTTCCTTTTGTTGTTATGGAAGAAGTGTTCCTGTTCCCCCCTGAATTGAGCTTTTCTCTCGACTTCTGTGGATCCCATGCTCTTCTGCTTCTCTTATCCTTTATTTCTTACCCCTCTCTAAATTTTTTCTTTCTGCACTTAAATATTGTATATTAAAAATATTAAAATCCCTGTGACTCCCCTACCCTTTTCCTGTCCTTCACAACTGAGCATCTTCGTAGAATCATCTATGCACATCCTCCACGCCCTTGCCTCTTTGTTCTTTTTCTCTCTACGTCCTTCTAGGTTCTACCCCAACCTCCCATTAAAAAGGAGGCATTAGCAAATGCCTCCTTAAATCTAGCACACGCTTCTCAGACTAAGCCTTGCTTGAATTTTCAGTATTTTTACAATTTTACTTACTTATTTTGAGAGAGAGAGGGAGAGTATGAGTGCTGGAGGTAGAGAGAGGGAGAAAGCGAATCTCAACAAGGCTTCACATCTAGCACAGAGCCCAACACGGGGCTTGATTTCATGAACTGCGAGATCGTGACCAGCCGGAGTCAAGAGTTGACAGTTAACTGACGAAGCCACCTAGGAGCCCTGAATTTTCAGTATTAAGACCATTAAGCCCCTTATCTTTCTGGACATGCTCTGTTCTTCGCTTCATTTCATATCTGCTTTCCTGGTGTTCCTCCCCACTTCGTGGCCACTCGTTTTCTCCTTTCCTCGGCAGCCTTCTCTTTGTCATAGAACTCTTGTCGTTGTTTATCATACCCCCGAGTGAGCCTTACCATTCCCATACCGTACTGCAGGACCTTCAGATACTGTCTTCAGCCCTTTTTGTTCCGCTCCAGACACACAAGTGTCACAGATGCCTCAAACTTTAATGTGTCCCAAACTGATTCATCTGTCCTGTCCATAAATACACTCCTCTCCTGTTCCTGAGGTGAATGATGCGTGTAGCACCCACGTGACTTTCCAGCCCAGGAGCCTGGGGCTCCTCCTTGGCTCTTCTCTCCTTCCCCTCACACATCTAACCAGAAACAGAGTGTTAGTGAGTATCCTTCAAGTCGTGTATTTTTTACGTTCCCACCACTGCTATCATTGTCCTTTCATCTGGCAAACTGCCACAACTTCTAAACTGTCTTTTTTTAGTTTGGTGGGGTTTTTGTTTGTTTGTTTTTGTTTTGCTTCCCTTTGAATCCATTTCCTACACTGTGGCCAGCATAATCTTTTTAAAATGGAAATCTCACAAGCTTTCAGTGATTTCCCATTGGCTCAGACTGCCCTGTGAGCTCAGATGCCTTAGCATGGCTTGGAAGATCAGTAGCCACCTTCCTTCTCCCTCTGTGCCTTCTCTTTTTTCAGCACAATTGCTTACAAATGTTGAGTGTCTCCCGTGTTCAGTGCTGGGGATATAATGCTGTCGCTGTCCCCATCAGTGTTGAAGCAACAAACAAGTCATTCTGTCGTTCCCTCCCCAGATTTAGCACATACTGTTTCTTCTACCAAAAACATATATATTTTTTTGAATATGAAATGTATTGTCACATTGGTTTCCATACAACACCCAGTGCTCATCCTGACAGGTGCCCTCCTTAATGCCCATTGCCCACTTTCCCCTCCCTCCCACCCCCCGTCAACCCTCAGTTTGTTCTCAGTTTTTAAGAGTCTCTTATGCTTTGGCTCCCTCCCTCTCTTTTTTTTTTTTCCTTCCCCTTCCCCTTGGTCTTCTGTTAAGTTTCTCAGGATCCACATAAGAGTGAAAACATATGGTATCTGTCTTTCTCTGTATGGCTCATTTCACCCAAGAACATATATTGATGTCTCGGTCACTCCTACTTTTTCTTTAGGTCGGGAATTAGCAAACTGTGGCCCGAGAGCCAAATCTAGCATGCTACCTTTTTTTGTAAATAATTTTTTTGTTTTGGAACACAGCTGCTCTCATTCCATTATGGGCTGTCCGAGGCTGCTTTCACACTATGGTACCAGGGAACAACAGTCGCCACAGGGCCATGTGCCCTAGAAGCTTAAATTGTTTACTGTCTGGACTTTTTGCAGGAAAAGTTTGCTAACCTTTACTTTAAGTATTCATTTAAACATCACTTATACGAGGTGAGGCAAGCCACTCTGCGCTTTCATGAAAAATGTTTTATCACACATACAGTTTCCTAACTTGAATGAAAGCCCTTTGAAAGCAAGCCCGTGTCGGTCTTGCTCACTTACACTCCCAGCTCTTAGTTCCTAGCACATATCAGGTAGTCATAAAAATCCAAATAAATAATTTGGATGAATGCGTAAAAGTACCTTCATAAAACATTTTATTTGATGAAAACTCCCAAGCCATTAACTTAATGTATTTTAATAGTTTTTTTTCCCCTAAACATAAACTTTGTTTTTTAGAGGTAAACAAGAAATTGAAAATTTGAAGGAAGAAGTGGAAAGTCTCAATTCTTTGATTAATGACCTACAAAAAGACATCGAAGGCAGTAGGAAAAGAGAATCTGAGCTACTGCTGTTTACAGAAAAGCTCACTAGTAAGAATGCACAGCTCCAGTCTGAATCCAATTCTTTGCAGTCACAATTGGATAAGCTTTCCTGTAGTGAAAGTCAGTTACAAAGCCAATGTGAACAAATGAAACAGACAAATACTAATTTGGTAAGTATAAATTTACATGTAACTTTTATTTATTTATTTATTTTAAATTTTTTATGTTTATTATTTATTTTTGAGAGAGAGAGAGTGTGTGAGCAGGCGAGAGGCAGAGAGAGAGGGAGACACAGAATCGGAAGCAGGCTCCAGGCTCCGAGCTGTCAGCACAGAGCCCAACGCGGGGCTCAAACCCACGAGCTGTGAGATCATGACCTGAGCCGAAGTCGGACACTCAACCAACTGAGCCACCCAGGCACCCCTACATTTAACTTTTAAAGCAACATAGCAAGAAGCACAAATTAAATTTTCCTACTAGCATAAACCTACTGGTAGTTGAGTTAAACTCGTTTTTTGTATTTGCATTGACTTTCTGGCAATTTCAAATGCTGTGCAAGGTAACAGTTTTTCTTTCCAACTTGTTCAAAGTGTCCTTTTTCCTTCCTAATTTATAATAAAATGTCTCCCTAAAATGCTTATGAAAAAGTATTTCACTTTTGAAAATAAGAAAACCATGGTTTTTTGGGGGCGCCTGGGAGGCTCAGTCGGTTGGGTGGCCGACTTCGGCTCAGGTCATGTTCTCATGGTTTGTGAGTTCGAGCCCCGCGTCGGGCTCTGTGCTGACAGCTCAGAGCCTGGAGCCTGCTTTCAGTTCTGTGTCTCCCTGTCTCTGGCCCTCCCCCGCTCACGCTCTGACTCTCTCTCTCAAAAATAAATAAACATTAAAAAGAAAAAGAAAACCATGGTTTTTGTCATTCCTAACTGGAATTACTGTATATTTTTTAAAGTTATTTCAAATTTCTATATGTTTATAGTTTAAAAATGGTTTAATATTTCTGTGTTATGAAAGTATCTTCAAGTTACTCATAAAGATAATTTGAGATTTTAGTCCAAAATACAGAGAACATCGGTCATATGCTCTTTTGCGTGTATGAAATGGCAAATGTGTTAATATGCCCCCTGCATTCCTCTATGAGGAATTTGGAGAGCTCAGGAAACAGAACCTGGTAAGAAGCGATTCTGGAAGAATCTACCATCATTTACCATCAGGGACCTTGTATTTTCAGGACTTTGAATTGTGAGCAATAATGGAAACAGGTATTAAAACTGGTGTATTTTGTTTTATCCTTTTTAATATTTAGGAAAGTAGATTGTTGAAAGAGGAGGAACTGCGGAGGGAGGAGGTCCAGACCCTGCAAGCGGAACTCACCTGTAGACAAACAGAAGTTAAAGCACTGAGCACCCAGGTCGAAGAACTAAAAGATGAATTAGTCACTCAGAGACGTAAACATGCCTCCAGTGTCAAGGATCTTATCAAACAACTCCAGCAAGGTACCAATTTCTCACCCACTTAGACCTTAATATTGTTTCTTTTAGTCATTAAGGATTTATAGAAAAAAATCTACTTTGCATCAGGTTCTACCACTTTGATTAGAACTCTGTGTTCTTTTTAATGTATTGATGTTCATAAACCAAATCACTAAACCTCTTATAGTTCCACAAATAGTCTATAACATCCTCTATGTAAAGGGCACTTATTCGCAGAATCCCAAAACGTGACAATTGGGAATGTACCTTAGGGAAGTAGTGTCTAAACTTTTTGACCACGTGCTCCTATCAGTAAAAAGTAGTTAAGCATTTATTCTCCAATTTATGTATACTTATTTATAAATTTTAAACATGTATTATTCTACATTACAAATGTAAATTTTAAAAGATCAGACGAAATACAAGTATAAATGGAAATTCTAATATTTTCTCCCTATACATGCTATGAGTTGTTTTGTTTAGCATCTAGGTACCTGTACCTCCCCTCATAGACCTCTTAGAGATCACTGAACCCTAACCCTTCATCTTAGAGGAGACCGAGACCCAGATACGTTCTGAATTACCCGAACACAACAACTAGGACTAGAACCCAGATTTCTTTTCATCTAAAAATTCATGCAGTTATTTGGAGTCTATGCTATATGCTTGGATAAAAGATGAATAAGATATGTATTCAGACTTCCTAATCTCTACTATTCCTCACTACTTTGTGGTAAAATATGGTAAAATATAGTAATAAGATAAAAGAGTTTTAGCATTTACTTAATATGAATATATTCAGGTATTTGCCTTAAGGATTATTCAGTTTGTTTTTATAGATATAATTGAAGGGAAATCTTTGGCATCACAGAGATCATCTAAATTCGTCAGGATTCTGAAAGCTAGGTCACTGTACCTAAATGATATCATCATAGTGTTGTCTCTATATATTTTGTATTTGACCTGTACGTTTCTACATGTCATTGTATATGAATGACTACTATAGCTCTCCTGTCTGAAGTATGTATTCAAGAAATTTCTCTTGATGTTTAAGCTATTTTTGCCTAAGTGATTTTAGCAATTAAGATCAGAGATAGTGGGGGCGAATGGTCATGAGAATTGTCACAGGCAATCCATTTCTTTTTCCTATAGCACGAAGAAAATTAGATCAGATTGAGAATGGAAACTATGATAAAGAAGTCAGCAGCATGGGGAGTCGTTCTAGTTCATCAGGTAAAAATCTCAGGCTTCAGATGTTACCTAGTGACTGACTGTAAAAAGAAGTAGCTTCTTTGGTGTGTTAAAAGGTATTGATATGCTTTTTTTTTTTTTTTCCATTTTGAGTTATACAAAGTTGTAGCATTTCCAGTTAAATATTTACATTCTCATCACTGTCCAGGGTTTCAAGTTTGCCACGGGATTCTGGATTGTCTGTCTCCCTACCTCCTTTTTTACCTGCTGCTTCTTTATTCTGTGTAACAATTTCCTCATTTTTCAATTTAGATTTGTATCTATCCATATAGAGAGATTGGGTGTAATACAGTGTCTCTCTCTCTTCCCCCCTTCCTCTCCCTCTCTCTTTTTTTCCTTTTATATTTTAACACCTGAAAACTAATGAAATGATGATCATTATCAGATTTTTTATATATGTGTATTTTATTTTTTAAAAAATTTTTAACGTTTATTTTTAAGAAAGACAGAGTATGAGTGGGGGAGGAGCAGAGAGAGAGAGAGAGAGAGGGAGACACAGAATCTGAAGCAGGCTCCAGGCTTCGAGCTGTCAGCACAGAGCCTGACGCAGGGCTTGAACTCGCAAACTGTGAGATCATGACCTGAGCCGAAGTCAGATGCTTAACGGACTGAGCCACCCAAGTGTATTTTATATATATGTGTATTTTAAAATTTTTTAGCTTTTCTCATGATAAATATGCCAAAAATTATGATTGATACCATTGTGGAAATGATAATTAGCAAAAAAATCAGTATATTTGTCATTTTGGAATGCCAGGAGCCATGCTAAGCACTTCAAGCATATTATTGACTGTAGACTAGTCGTGTGAGGTAAGTATTATAATTCACATTTTAGAGATGAGGAAACTAAGATTCCAAATGGTTCCATGACTTGCTCCGAATTCACAGCGACAGAACTCTCAGCCTCTAGAGTCCTTTCGTGCCATTACACTACACTCCCTCTCAGGAGTTGTACCTTACAGGGAGAATCAGCTGTTCCAGTAATGGGAAAATCATGTAGTAGAAAGAACATGGGTTTGAAATTACACATACGTATTTTGAACCCGGTCTGTCACTTATTAGTGTGCAACCTCGAATAAGATCTATTCCTTGTCTTCAGTCTACAAAATGGAGTTGAAAAGGCTTATGTTTGTAGTATAAAAAGGATCAGAAGTTTTTCTCAACTGATGTTGGTAAAAATAATAGCTAACACTTAGTGCTTATTATATGCACTGTTCCAAACACTTTCACATACATTAGCTCATTTAAATAAAGATAACAATCCTATGAAGTAAATAATAACATTATTCCCATTTTAAGATGAAATGACCAAGGCACAGAGAGTTAAATGACGTGGCCAAAGTCACAGAGCTACAAAGTGGAGGAGTGGGATTTGTACCTAAGGAGACTGGCTTCCAAGCTGAACCCACTGGTATATTCTGTCTTCTCTCTCTGTGTCTGCCTTTGGCTCCTCGTTTCACTTCAGGCTTGTTATTGTGACTTTTTCTGAGTTTTTTGTTTCTCTCTTGCCACTTCCTTATCCTGTTGCTGAGAGACATAATAGGCCCTTTGGTACTTCTGACATCCATGTATTCAATAGCAAGAGCTCAGGCCAGGTAGGACTTGTGTTCTGTGCCCACCTGTGTTAGAGTGAATATTTGAAAACAATACTAGAGAAATAATATGTACTATTAGAGATGACTTTAGACTAAGCACAGCATCTTAACTGATTTTTTTTTTTTTTGTCTTCAGGGTCCCTCAATGCTCGAAGCAGTGCAGAAGATCGATCTCCAGAAAATACTGGGTCATCAGTAGCTGTGGATAACTTTCCAGAAGTAGATAAGGCCATGTTGATTGAGAGGATAGTAAGGCTACAGAAAGCACATGCTCGGAAAAATGAAAAGATAGAATTTATGGAGGATCATATCAAACAATTGGTAGAAGAAATTAGGAAAAAAACAAAGTATGTATTATTATGATAACACACTCTGTGTTTGAAATACCGTTATTTGTATGGTAAAGTTACTGTTTTCAGAACTAATTATAACAAGAGCCCATCTTTCAAAAAATATTTGTTAATTTCCCAGTCTTATATTGATCACTTAACTATGTTCTAGGTTTTGGGAATACAGAAAAACCTAGTTTTTCTGTAAAACAAAGAAAGAAAAAACAGGTCGTTAAGGTGATACAGAGAGTTCAGTGGATGTTGATTTTTCTTTTAAAATTGTTTTAAGTTTATTTATTTTGAGAGAGAGAGACAATTTGAGCAGGCTAGGGGCAGAGAGAGAGGAAGAGAGAGAAAGAATCCCAAGCAGGCTCTGCACTGTCAATACAGAGCCTGACACGGGGCTTGAACCCACAAAACCGTGAGATCATGACCTGAGCCGAAACGGAGAGTCGGACGCTTAACCAACCTAGCCACCCAGACGCCTCAGATGTTGATTTTTTTAAGATACTAAAATAACTTTGCATTTAAAAAGAATACTCGACTTCACTTTCAGTTTTCATGACTCTGGCTCTAAGAGATAATATGGGGTCGTGGGTTATTGTTCCTGTCGGGTAGGATATAGTGGGTAATTTATTGGGCACCTGCCAAGTACAAGATTCTGTGCCTGTGACTTAACGAAATTTCATTGAAATTTCATTCGAAATTTCATACGTTAACTGGTGGTGCTCAGGTCAAATTACTAAATGTTCCAGAGTCACCACTCATCTAGTAAGTGACCAAAAGCTGGAGATCTGGGCCCAGCTCTGACTGACTCCAGAGCCTGTGCTGTGCCAGAGTCCTCTTACAAATGTCATATTCTTTTAAGTAAGAGGTTTTATATATGTACCCATGCCTTTTTAATTTTAATTTTGAAATAATTTTAGTCTTAGAGAAAATTTTTCCCATGACTTAAAAAAAGGATAAAGTTCTGAGTTTAATAACAGGAAAATAGAAAATGCTAACTAAAAATGGAGCAATAAGAAATTACTCAAAAGTATTTTGATTAAAGTAATAAAGAAATTGAAAAGCGGTGTTTGTATATCGTTAATATAAATACCATGTTGAACAAAAATGGGATTAAGAAACTACTGAATGAGAAAAGTTCCCTTATTTTCTAGTATATTTCTTTTTCACCTAATAGATATTTGTTTTATGCTAATCATCTTTATGCTTATGATTAGCCAACTCCTGTAAATTCTAATGTTTTTAATTCTGCAAGTATATAACTGACAGTGTCATTTTATTTTACAGAATAATTCAGAGTTACATTTTACGGGAAGAATCAGGCACACTTTCTTCAGAGGCATCTGATTTTAACAAAGTCCATTTAAGTAGACGGGGAGGCATTATGGCATCTTTATATACATCCCATCCAGCTGATAGTGGATTAACATTGGAACTCTCTTTGGAGATCAACAGAAAATTACAGGCTGTTTTAGAGGATACATTACTAAAAAATATTACATTGAAGGTATTTATATTTTTCATTTACTTACCGACCAGCAAGCATGGCATAATGGGGCCTCTTTCATTGCGTGAGCTGGCATGTAAATGACCAATTCTGTAATGCAAGGTAGCCATTTGACCCAGAGATCAAATTTCTGTATTGTTCTTAATGAAAAAGAAAGAGCAAAACATCAGCTTCACTATTGGACAGACAGTTGTTTATTTTGCAGTGGGCCGCCTCTGACCTCTATTATAGTTAGTTATGATTGATCACTGAGGCTTTAAGACTGAGGTGTGTCTTTTCTAATGTACATTCTAGCTCTACTTTTTGCAGGTATTACCTGACCTGACTGTTCTGTTTGTGCTGTGTTTGGGCCTCCATAGTCAGTAATGGATTTTAAAGAATGTTTTTATTTAATTCATTATTATCATTTTTTAATTTTAGAGAGTGCACAAGCAGGGGAGAGAGGGAGAGAGAGAGAATCTTAGGCAGGCTCTACGTTCAGCACAGAACCTGATGTGGAGCTCAGTCCCATGACCCTGGGATCATGACCTGAGCCAAAGTCACTCAGACGCTCAACTGACTGAACCACCCAGGTGTCCCTAAAACAGAACATTTTAAATCTAGTAATAATTTTGTGCACCAAAATTTACTGTCGCTTCAGTAAAAAGACAGATTCTGAAATGTATAGGACTCCTTTACTGAAAACCACTGTGCTCCTGGCCAGTGTCACCGAGCAGTTAAGACTCATCCTCACCCTTTTGGTTTCAAAATTTAAGCAAAAACAGTACAAACTGAATCTTTATACTTATGCTACCTAATAATTCTGTTTTATTTCCCCCTTTTTCTAACTGGTGAAGGAAAATCTACAAACACTTGGAACAGAAATTGAGCGTCTTATTAAACATCAGCATGAACTCGAACAGAGAACGAAGAAACCCTAACGCAAAGCTCTCATTCACTAAACAGACAAAAGCCACATAAGGAGCAGGTGCCACTGCCCATTATTGTTGGAAACTTTTCCCTGCTTTGTGTGTCAGTAAAAAATTGTTTTGCTTCATCTGTATAAAAAAGTATCCTTTTACAATATGAATGCATTGCTGTGTATACTGTAAGAGCAAAAGCTTTGATGAAATTTGTTTTTGTATAGTGACAGCCTGTCCCTGAATCAGAACAACCGAAATTGCTAATGGTCATACAAAGTGCTGAACATTACTACAAGGGCTTTTGAAAACCCCTTCTCCTTATTTCTTCCTTTTAAAATATATCATGTCAAAAATGATTCAGCTTTTAAAATTCTGCATGAAAGGACACGTGTTCATCATTCCGTAATGTGCTGTTTCTCCAACATGAAGAAAACTAAAGTGATAAAGATCATATTTGACCTTCCAGTATCCCATTTGGTTGTGTCACAGGGATGCCAGTGAGTCTTAACTTCTTGTCATTTTAATGGCCGCTAATAGGAAAGCCAGCTCTTGGTCGCCAGCAATAATCAGCCATTGAATGCCTCCATCAGGTTTCCTTCTCTGTGCTAGGTACGTTTTGTCAGATTCAAATTGTTTGAGTTCATAGTTGAGTTTTTTTAGTCTTCAGTTACACAAAATCTGATTTTAAATAACACGCTCACTTAGAAAATCTCTGCGGACTTCAGTTGTATTTTAAAATGTGAAATAGATTGTTCATTAGAACAGAGAGATGAATAATGAATTCTTTGAAGCTGAAATACTTTAGTTTTACTGACATCAAGTGTTAAGAAAAACGTGTAAGGCTTTTAGGAAGAACCAGTTCCCCAGAGAATCCAGCGTATGGCTCTGTTAACCATGTCATTTGAGCACCATGCTTGATCATTGATATAATTATGTATTCCAGGAGAGTGATCTTACAGTCCCCAAATGTGATGTGTTTCAATATATTTATTTAAAATACAAAATAATTACATCTCTGTAACCAAGGGAAATTTAGAGCCAAATTTGTGTAGCCTGTTGGATTTTTACAATATTTATTTAAAATACGCACTTACATGTCGCCAGTCCATGGTATCGGTACTTCTACATCATTGAATTTTGTTCCCTCCTCTTGTAATTTGTCACCTATTATCATTTCTGTGTGTGGTTTTTCACACTTGATTACATTCAGGTCATCTCTACGATAGGATACCTTGGCTGACCTGCAGATGTTGCCACAAGTGTCACTCTTGTTTTGGATTTTTGCATCCTTTTTTCTCCCCTTAAGAGAAGTAAGCTTTGGGATGATGAAAAAGCCTTTCAGAAGTTATATGGCTCTGAAAGTTGGGCTTACGGTGGCAATGTCCCGTTAATGTGTTTTAACATTTTTTTTATATCAACATTGTTTAAAAGGATCACATGCTTAATTTTTACTAAGGATTCAATGTAGTGTCTTATTTTTTTCTGTGTATCGAGGTGTGTTGTCATCCAAAAACAAAATCTTTTCAGCATGGAAATAGAAGTTCAAAACATTTTTAAAATAACTGTAACAAGTGTCAGTCTTACCATAATGTGTCTTGTTATTTTTACCAATAATAATTTATCAAAAGAAGAGGGTGAGTGCAATCAAATCTGAATTATTTTCCCCTTTGTTTCTAGACATACTATTGATATTCCTATAGACTGCTTAGAGTAGCCAACAAAACTACATTTTTATGGCTGCTTATGTGATAGAGATTCATACACTACAATATTTGTTTTTTCCTTCCAAGACACAAAATATATGAATGGAGGCCAAACAGTGATCAGATCTAGAGTGTCCTATGTCTACACACTTTTTAAGAATATATACATTTATTACATACAAAAATAAAACATTCCAATATTAACACTTGTGCCACCATTTGGGAAAGTTGAATGGTGAAGCAACTTTAGAAGAAAGCTGTCATAAATCATGTTCTGACTTATTGTTACTTACCGCCCCCCCCCCATAAATATAAGAAACTATGGAAAACTTTTGAAGAGAATGCTTTATCTTCTTTTTTTCCTTCAGTTTCTATTGTATCTTCACTTTCTATTGTGGATTAGAACCAAACAAAGTAATATATGAAAATGTGCATATATCACATCTTTATACGAACTCATAAAAAGCTCCTGGTGTGAGGATTTAGGGATTTAGAGAGTCTTTTACTATAGTGAATATACGGAGAGAAGAGTGGAGTGTCCAAAAAAGGAAAATGGCCTGAATAAACCTGAGATCTGGGGGAATATTTATTTTAGATGTTCATTATTCATTGTACATATCAAAGGCTACGTTGATAGTTAGCACTGCTTTGGTTTCTTTGAACAGGAAATTATTTTGTGTGTGTGTCTTATCTGTATATGCTTACTAGGCCTTCGTTTTGAAGTGAGTTCTTACTGTGGCTCCCTTTTTCGCATACTACTTCCCTTTAGCCTGTTAAGTGTTCAGGATTGAAAACAGTGGGTTTGAGCAAAGAAATGGGTTTGAACTTCGGTATTTTGGTTTTTCTTTTAACTTTCTATCTTTGACGCCATTTAAAGTGATTTATCTTGCATTATTTTATCAGGCTACCAGCATGTTATTTATTCATTAAAAAAAAAAAAAACACCTGTATTGAAAGTCTGCTATTGTGCTATATTGCCTGGCACCGTCCAGGGTATTGTGATTTTACTGGTGAACAGACCGGGCAGGACTGTTGCTGTCCCCATGGAGCTGAGGTCTAGTGACAATGGCAGGGAAGGCACCAGAAGCAGCTCTTTGAGCCTCTGCAGCTCCCAGCCAGCTGCCGTAGGAAGAGGGTTAATCCAGTTGTGCAAGTAGTGGCCCAGAAGTCTCGCCGTGGCATGAAACTTCGGGAGATGAGTCCTTGCTCTGGGGTAGGCTGAGAGGTCTGCACGTCCTCTGCCATAGTTTGGTGTTTACTTCTTCTTTAGGAAAAAAGAAGAAAAAATCCAAAGAACATAGACAAGTATTTGATTTTTGCCATTTTAGTAAATTATTAATGCCTACTTGATGCTCATAAAAGTGAATCTAATCACGTTTTCATGCGTGTTCCTAAACTTTGTTTCACAGCATATTCTTTTCTAAAGATTTTCTTCATAAAAGTTTAGATCAAGATTTACCAAGACGTTAAAAAACCGTCAATGTTGTAAATGTTACATATATGCTACTGTGGTGAAAATACTTTTCTCAATCATGTTACTCGGTATGGTTAGTTTGCCTTATGAATGTTGACTCTACTAGCCTGTTTTTCGATATCCTTTTTAAAAAACAAAACAATCTTCTTTTGACACTGAGATTGTTCATTTTTAACACCAGTTGGTGGCACTAGAAACCTGAAATTTCTCAAGGCTCTGAACAAGAGCAAATAATTGAAAACGTATCCAAACATGAAGAATTTTCAGGAAAATAAATGAAAAATATAATTGTATATTAAAGATGTATTTTCTGGTATGAATTCTTTTTTAAAATGCATATGCCTGTCCATTTTGATGACAATGATAAAACTTGTTTATCTTCCAAAAGTGTGTATATATATATATACATATATATATGTGTGTGTATATATATGTATATGTATGTGTGTGTGTGTGCATTGTACAGATAATCTTTAATTTGATTACACTGTTCATTTTGTAAATATGTTTCTGTATAAAATGAAGCTTTTCAAGAGAATTCTATGTATATATTGTACTTATTAAATAGGTAATGCCTGTTTACCAAGTTGTATTTTATAGCATCTTTGATTATTTATTTACATACACCACTTGCTAAACAGACTGATTCTCCAGACTGTTGGCAAGGCTGATTCAAATTGCTTGAATTTTCTTTTTTAAACTCCACTAGGAGGTTTTGCTTACCACAGTTCTCTTTATTATACCAATTATTATTAGAAGTCAATGAATAGTAAGCAGTTTAAATTGAATGCCAGGTTCTGTTTTAAATTTGTGTTTATATCATTGGTAGCAAAACTTGGCCTTTTACAAAAGGCAAATTTTCACATGCCTGTTTTCACATAGACATTTTCACATGCCTGTGTGAAAATTTCTCATTGAACTGGACGAGCCAGTAATATATTCACATTTTCCACCAAACTGTGTAACTTGCCCAAATTATCTACCTTTAATAATAAAGCTCTAATATGTTCAATAAAAAGATACGGAAACGGCATTAATTTCATGAAGTTAATGTGTGTGTGGTGGGTATTTCACATCACACCGTGTTGTTTTCCATACACTTAAATTATGCCACGGACCTGAATGACTTTACTACTGGAAAGAATCCCTTGAAATCAGGATCCTTGGAATAAAGGGAAAATTAATAGAATAGAGGAAGCTTGCATGATGTCCTCAATGGTCTCTTTTTTGGTAGCCTAGGGATTTGTTTTGTGAGAGAAAGGAATGTATATGTGGAAGAGAATGAGCGAGGGAAAGAGATACTAGCTGTGTTGGGGGGGGTTGTTTGTTTTTTTGTTTTGGCTTGTAGTTCTTAACTGTCATTTTGAGCCTCATCAGTGAAGAGATTGGAAAGACCATTCCACTGAACTTCTATCCATGTTGGATTTTTTTCTTTTAAAAAAAAATTGTTAACGTTTTATTTATTTTTGAAGGAGAGAGAGAGAGCATGAGCAGGGAAGGAGCAGAGAGAGAGGAAGACATAGAATTTGAAGCAGGCTCCAGGCTCTAAGCTGTCAGCACAGAGCGCAATGCGGGGCTTGAACTCACAAACTGTGAGATCATGACCTGGGCCGAAGTCGGACGCTTAACCGACTGAGCCACCCAGGCGCCCCTTGGGTTTTTTCTTAATAACTGCTCCAATCCGTGAATGTAGAATGAGTACACACTTCTTTAGGACCAGAAGCTTAAGAGGATGCCTCTAGTTGACAAATGCCAATGCTGTTTTAATGATTCTCTCTGAGAACAGTGTGACCAGACTTGATGTTCCTGCCCCTGTAGAGATGCACTATTAACCTACGTTA